GCGCTAATCTCTTGTGTGGAACTCTGTCAAACGCCTTTCAGTCCAAGAAAATGTAATCTTCCCACCCCTCTCTCTCTTGTCTTACTGCTGTCACCCTGTCATAGAACTCCAGTAGGTTTGTGACACAGGATTTCCTGTCCCTGCAACCATGTTTGCTGTTGTTTATAAGCTCATTCCTTTCTAGGTGTTCCACCACTCTTCTCCTGATAATCTTCTCCATGACTTTGCATACTATACGTCTGTGATACTGGTCTCTAGTTTAATGCTTCGTGTCTATCTCCTTTTTAAAAAATCGGGACTACATTTTCTGTCTTCAAAACCTCAGATACTCTTCCTGCTTCGCCAGATGTGTTGAATATTGTAGTTAGGGGTACACATAGCACCTCTGCTCCCTTTCTCAGGACCCACGTAGAGATGTTATCCGGCCCCATCGCCTTTGAGGTATCTAGCTCGCTCAGCAGCCTCTTCACTCCTTCCTCGGTTGCATGTATTGTATTCAACACTTGGAGGTGTACCCCACCTCTCCGTCTGTCTGGAGTCCTTTCTGTCTCCTCTGTGAACACTTCTTTGAATCTCTTGTTGAGTACCTCACATACTTCGTGGTCGTTTCTTGTGATCTTTCCTCCTTCCTTCCTTAGCTTGATTACCTAGTCCTTGCCTGTTGTTTTCCTCCTGATATGGCTGTACAACAGCTTCGGGTCAGATTTGGCTTTCGCTACTATGTCATTTCCATAATGTCGTTGGACCTTCCTTCTTACCTGTGCATTTTTTGTACCCTTGAGTGCAAACCTCTCCTCTGCTTCCTGAACCCTGTTCAGGAAGTTCCTCATTCATGCGTAGTTCCCTTTCTTGTAGTTTGGCTTATTTCATCCGGCTCTTCCTGTTTTCCCCTCCATTTATAACTCTACTGTGTATTCCAATCTTAAAACCACATGATCGCTGGCCCCAAGGGGTCTTTCATATGTGATGTCCTCAATATCTGCACTACTCAAGGGGAATACTAGCTCCAGTCTCGCTGGTTCATCCTCTGCTATCTCTCTGGTAGTGTCCCTTACATGTTGGTACATTAAGTTTTCCAGTACCACCTCCATCATCTTAGCTCTCCACGTTTTTTGTCCCCCAAGTGGCTCCAAGTTCTCCCAATCGATTTCCTTGTGGTTGAAGTCACCCATGATCAGTAGCTTTGCCCTGCAAGCGTGAGCCCCTCTGGCCACTTTGGCCAGTGTGTCAACCATCGCTCTATTACTCTTGCCTTGAGTATGTGTGTGTGTGTGTGTGTGTGTGTGTGTGTGTGTGTGTACTCATTTAATTGTATTCACCTAATTGTCGTTGCAGGGGTCGAATCATAGCTCCTGGCCCCGTCTCTTTACTGGTTGCTCCATGAATTTTATCATACCTCTTCTTAAAGCTATGTATGGCTCCTGCCTCTACCGCATCACTTTCCAGACAACTCCGCTTCCTGACAGCTCTACGACTGAAGAAATTTCAAAACATCCCTGTGATTCATCTGAGTTTTCAAGTTCCAATTGTGACCCTTGTTGTTGTGTTCCATCTCTGGAACATCCTGGGTACATGTCCCCCCCTGTCCCTTCTATCCTCCAGAGTCGTCAGGTCGATTTTCCTTAAGCTCTTCTCGTAGTACACGCCCCTTAGCTTCGGTACTAGTCATGTTGGAAACCATTGCATTTTCTCTAATTTCTTTACGTGCTTGACCAGGTGTAGGTTCCAGACTGGTGCTGCATTCTCTAATATGGGCCTGACGAACACGGTGTACAGAGTCTTTAGCGATTCCTTACGGAGGTGTCAGACTGCTATCCTTAGGTTTGCCAGGCGTTCATATGCTGCAGCCGTTATTTGGTTAATGTGCACTTCAGGAGATGCGCTTGGTATTATACTCACCCCAAGATCCTTTTCCTTTAGTTAGGTCTGCAGCCTATGGCCCCACTAGACTGTACTCTGTCTGCTGTCTTAAATGCAGTTCCCCGATCTTCATGACTTTGCACTTGATGGGGGTTGAAGTCCAGGAGCCAGTTGCTAGACCAGGCTTGCATCCTGTCAGGTCCCTTTGTAGTCCTGCCTGTTCCACATCCGATTGAATTCTCCTCATTAGCTTCACATCGTCTGCAAACAGTGACACTTTACAGTCTATCCCTTCCGTCATGTCATTCACATATAACAGAAACAGCACTGGTACTAGGACTGACCCCTGTAGCATCACGCTCGTCACAAGCGCCCACTCTGACACCTTGTCACGTTCCATTACTCGTTGTTGACTACCTGTCAGGTATTCTCTGATCCATTGCAGTACCTTTCTTGTTATACCTGCCTGACCCTCCAGCTTTTGCACTAATCTCTTGTGTAGAACTGTAGTGTCAAAAGCCTTCTTACAGTCCAATAAATGCCATCTACTTCCCCCCCCCTTCTCTCTCTCTTGTCTTACTGCCGTCACCTTGTCATAGAACTCCAGCAGGTTTGTGACACAGTATTTCCCCTCCATAAAACCGTGCTAGTTGTCGTAATCTCATTCCTTTCTAGGTGTTCCACCTCTCATCTGATAATTTTCTCCATGAGTTTGCAAACGATATATGTCAGTGACACTGGTCTATAGTTTAATTCCGCAAATCTGTATCATTTCTTAAAAATTTGGACTACATTTGCTGTTTCTCATACCTCAAGTAGTCGCCATGTTTCGATTAATGTTTTGAAGATTGTTTTGGTGACACACAGAGCGCCTCTACTCCCTCTCTTAGGACCCATGGAGTGATGCTGTTCCGGCTCATCGCGTTTGAAGTATCTAGTTCGCTTAGCAGCCTCTTCACCTCCACCTCGGTTGTATGTATTGTGTCCAGCACTTGATGGTGTGCCCCACCACTTCGGATTCCTAGAGTCCTTTCTGTCTCCACTGTAAATACTTCTGTAAATCTCATGTTGAGCTCTTCACATACTTCCCAGTCGTTCCTTCCTCAGCCTGATTACCTGATCCTTGACTATTGTTTTCTTCCTGATATGACTGTACAACAGCTTCGGGTCAGACTTGGCTCTCGCTGCTATGCCATATTCGTATTGCCGCTGTACCTCTCTTTATCTTTGCATATTCATTTCTGGCTCTTCGACTAATCTCCTTATTTTCCTGGGTCCTTTGCCTACTTTACTTTTCCATTTTCTAGCACATTTAGTTTTAGACTCTCTACACCTTTGGGTGAATCAAGAACTAGTTCTGGCCTTCCCATTATGTCTGTTACCCTTGGCTACGAGCCTTTCCTGTTTCTTTGCATTTTGTTGTCACATATCCCATCATTTCATTTACTGACTTTCCCGCCAGTTCTCTTTCCCATTGAACCTCGTGCAGGAAATTCCTCATGCGTGTGTCGTCCCTTCTTTTATAGTTCACTTAGCCAATGTGTCTTCATCGTTCTTTTACTCTTTTTTGTTTTGTGTCGGGCTATACAATAGTGCAATAACCGCCTCGGGACCTCCAGTCTGAAGTGTTCCTATTATGTAGTCTCTTGCTTCTCCTGTCTCCTCTCTCCAATTCCTTAAAACTCCATTGGTTTTTAATGAGTAGTGCAACTGCTTCACCCCTTCTACTTCCTCTGTCTTTCCTCAGGATCTGATATCCAGTTGGAAAGATGGTGTGTGTTATCATTCCTGTGAGCAAAGTTGCCATGAGAGCGATTATGTCTGGTGATTGCATGTTAAAACTCGAACCTTCGAGCTTTAAAACACCACCCTCGTTGCCTGTCAAAATTCGAGACACCCTAAACCACTGAACCATCAATGTCACACACAACAGGCGTCTAGCAGCTTTAGACGTCCCTCCTGTTGCGGACACATACGTGGCTGTGGAAGGATAAGTATTAATTTCGTTCTCCTCTTGTTTCGAATACCAGTTACACAAGCAGTTTTACATATTAATGCATGCAAATGAGAGGAGAATGAAATTAGTTCTTTGTTTGCCACAGCCACGTATGTGTCCGTAGCAGGAGTGACGTCTGGTGCTACTAGACCTCTGTTGTATGTGAAACTGATGGTTCGGTGGTTTAGGGCACATCGAATTAATTTTGATAGGCTACGATTTTGGCGTGTTAAAGCCCGAGAGTTCGAGTCTCGGTCAGTGCAGCTGTTATTTGCTTAAAAGCACTTGTTCGTGAATGCATTAATATATATATATACATATATATATATATATATATATATATATATATATATATATATATATATATATATATATATATATATATATATATATATATATATATACATATATACATATATGTACAAATATATATATATATATATATATATATAATATATATTATATATATATTTTATATATATATTTTATATATATAAATATATATATATATAATATATGTCGTGCCGAATAGGCAGAACTTGCGATCTTGGCTTAAACAGCAACGTTCATCTTGCCATATAGGACAAGTGAAAATTTGTGTATGCAATAATTTCGCCAAAATCATTCTGAACCTAACGAAAAAAATATATTTCACTGTGTTTGTTTAGTATTAAATTATTGTAAACAAATCTAAAATATATGTAGTTGGGTTAGGCTAAAATAAATTGTTCTTGTTATAATAAGGTTAGGTAAGTTTTCTAAGATTTTCTTGGTGCAAAATTAAAATTTTTTTCATTAACATTAATGAAAAAAATATATCTTTTAACGTATAAGAGAAAATTTTAGAAAGGACTTAATTTTAATTGAGTTCTTGCTAATTGACCAGTTTTGCATATTCGGCACGACATATATATATATATATATATATATATATATATATATATAATATATATATATATATATATATATATATATATATTATATATATATATATATATATATATATATGTAATATATATATTGAAAAATCGCGGAAGGGCGTGGAAATTCACTTGTTTTTTAGAGAGACAGAGACAGAGACAGAAATTTATAGACAGTTAATTTTATAGATAACCTAATGGGTCTACCCTATTTTAATTTCAAGGAAAAGATATCATTAGAATTGGAGAATAATGTCAAAGACAGCGACTACACTAAGTGGTGGGTGCCTCTGACGTACACTTGGCAGGACGAGCTCAGTTTCAACCTGACACAACCCAGAGTATGGATGAGGAACACTGAGTCTCAGCTCTCGGTCCAGGCTCTCCCGAGCAAGGAGCAGTGGGTTATCTTCAACTTGCAGAGAACTGGCTATTACAGAGTTAACTACGACTTACATAACTGGGACCTCATCATCCAGCAGCTCCTTTTGGACTTCACTGTGATACCTGTCACTAACAGAGCCCAGCTAATTGATGATGCTCTCGACCTTGCTTTAGCTGGTAAGTTTAATGGAATGTGTAATCATGGGGGTATGAGTATGGGATGACGAAGCGCTTGAGTGAAGAATGATGCAGCGAGAATGATGGATGATTCAGGATGGATGACAGGGTGTATGAAGTGGCTGAATGGTGTATGAGAAGTGGATAATACAGCATGTGAATATTAGATGATTGTGTTTGTGAGGTTTGTAATGGAGCATATGAGAAGTGGATAATATGAGTTTGAGTGGTGGAAAGAAGAATGGATGATTACTTGATAGTTTGTGAGGGGTGGATAATTCAGCATATGGGAGGTGGATATTACAAATTTAATTAAATGCGCTAAGAAAATTAGTTTTCCTAAATTTTATTTTTTTATTAACACATCGGCCGTTTCCCACCAAGGCAGGTGGTCCGAAAAAGAAAAACTTTCATTATCATTCACTCCATCACTATCTTGCCAGAGGCATGCTTACACTACAGCTATAAAACTGTAACATTAACACCCCTCCTTCAGAGTGCCGGTATTGTATTTCCCATCTCCAAGACTTAAGTCCGGCCTGCCGGTTTCCCTGAGTCCCTTCATAAATGTAACCTTGCTTACACTCCAACAGCACGTCAAGTCCTAAAAACCATTTGTCTCCATTCGCTCCTGTCTAACACACTCACGAACGCTTGCTGGAACTCCAAGCCCCTAGCACACAAAACCTCTTTTACCCCCCCCCTCCAGCCTTTCCTAGGCCGACCCTTTCCCTGCCTTCCCCCCACTACTGATTTATACACTCTCGAAGTCATTCAATTTCGTTCCACTCTCTCTACATGTCCAAACCATCTCAACAACCCCTCCTCAGCCCTCTGGATAATAGTTATGGTAATCCCACACCTCATCCTAATCTCCAGACTACGGATTCTCTGCATTATATTTACACCACACATTGCCCTCAGACATGACATCTCCAATGCCTCCAGTCTTCTCCTTGTTACAACATTCTCAAACCATGCCTCACACCCATACAAGAGTGTTGGTATAACTATACTCTCATATATTCCCTTTTTTGCTTTCATGGATAAAGTTCTTTGTCTCCACAGACTCCTCAGTGCACCACTCACCTTTTTCCCCTCGTCAATTCTATGATTCATTTCATCTTTCATAGACCCATCTGCTGACACGTCCACTCCCAAATATTTGAACACGTTCACCTCCTTTATATTCTCTCCCTTCAATCTGATATCTAATCTTCCGTTACTTAATTTCAGCATCAAAAAGTGTGCAGTTAAATATTATTTTCATTAATCATCAGTATCGTGATCAAAATCTCAAGAATTGGTTTAATGGCAAAATCACCAAATTTGTATCAAAGGTAATTTGAGTCTACTTAGGTAAACGAAAGAGACATTTCAACAAAATATATTCAAAATGGTCGGCTTTTCAAAGATGGACGCCAAGCATAATAAATTTATATACAGTACATCAGGAAATGATTCATGATCTTGGTACCACTTTCAATATTTTAATGATACACTTATACAGTAGGAAATCAAAATGATCTTTGGTATTAATTACTGACAGGGAAAATGGAGCTGTTGGATTTCCCTTCTGAAAAATATTAATGGAATAATAAGCTTATAACTGACAAATAAATAAAAATAATAATTAGAGATAATTTGAAGAAGACTTCCATGAAATAAACCTAACATAAAAAAAACAGAAATAACAATAAACCAACTAAACAATTCTAAATACAGTAATAAAAATTAAACATTAGAGGAACAGGAACATATCAAAGGAGACATCCTAGGGTCATATGTCCTATAAAGGCAGTTTGAAAATTAATGCCACATAGATTAAGAGTACCACGTTTCACAGGCAAGCTTTAGATAAATTGAGTGATGATTGACTGGGAGGTGTAAATTCTCAAGGTCTTTCAGGCACCTCGTAATGTAATAGTAATGTTCTCAGTCTGTACGATATCATGGTCCATGTAGGATACCCAGAACTGAGGAGTTTTCCCCATCTGCCCATTAAAAATGTCTTTTTGAAATGTCCAATACCTGTCTGGATTATTATTGCACTTTTTGCAGTCTCTCTTTACTTGGCGAAGAGCTGAGGTCTCTTAATCTCTGCTTTTCTTGTGCAGGTAGGCCTTCGAAGGTGAACTGGTTGTGTTCTTTCAAGTAATTCCTTTACAAGAAGCCTTTCAAGACCTTCCATAAACATCTTATGGGACAACATATCCCTTTCATATTCTTCCCACCCAGTACTCTATACGCAGGGCCAGATCCTCCTGGCCTGCCTTTAGTAGAACATCAATGAGTCCATTTCCTTCCATCTTTTTTTCTCAGTCACACCAAGGTATACACAGATTAGGTGGAATACTCCAATTAGAATGTGTTCAGCATACCTCTTGTGCTCATTCCACTCCAGTGGATTTTTTTCATACATACATATAGTGCATATTAATTGGGATCGATGAAATAAGACATTTATTTGGAAAATTAATGTTTATTTGAAAAATGCACAGTAATGATATGACAGATAATTGATTTAATAAGAAATATGACTACCTTTTGCTCTAACAAGCATTGCTTCTCGCTTTGGCATAGAATCGACCAATGCTGAACACATTTCGCAAGTTCGTCGTCGTACCAGATCCTAATAACAACAGCTATTAGTTCCTCCATACTAGAACAGTCCTATTTCGCGATGCTGCGTTAATTATTGCCCATAGTCTCTGTTCGAGGAGCGTCAGCAATTTTCGGGAAGTGTGGCATGGAGGAAGATCCTGTTGGAAAATGCCTTCTCCCTCAGGAAAGTTTCTGTCCACAATGGGAAGCCAATGAGTTTCCAGAATTGCCTTGTATTTCTTACTGTTCATCGTTTCCTCATCAATAACAAGCTGTCCAGTAGCACTACAACTACTCCAAAACATCTTTGGTGGGTGTTTTGGCGCTTGTTGAGTGCACCCATTCCGAAGAGGTTAGCATGTGCTCTATCTCACTACCACTGATCTGCACCCATGTACTTCAGAATGTGCCTCAACTGAAAATATACCTTTCCGTAATTTTTCTTTTTTATAGCAGCAGTCAATTGTTTCTTTACCGGCTTTCTGTCAACTTCAAGGAGCCAATTCTCTCTTTAGATCTTTGCTGGTATTCTTGGGATCCTTTACAGAATTTCTTATGGTAACCTTGTCATCCTGAGGTGCTGTCTTGCATTTTTCTTCCACACCTTGCTCGACACACCGCTCCTCACTCATCAGTGTCGTCAGCTCTCTTCAGAATCCGATCAACAGTTGACTTTGCTAGGCTCAAATTTTCAGCGATCTGTCTGATACACAAGTCAGCATGTTTTCTAAGAGCTACAATACTTAGACGTTTCTTAGGTGCAACATCCATCATAAATTTCAGCAGTAATCATGCAATGAAGGGGAGAATTTGGCGAAACCACACTCACTCACAGAGCAGGCTTGCAGGAATAGCTTACAGAACAACTGTTGTAGCACTGACGAGAGTGGCAGGGAAACATCACTGCTGGATGATTGACAGAAGTCAGCAACAAACTCCTATAAAAAAATAGAACCCAAATTAAACCGGTGAATAAGACATACGAGATAATTACAAAATTTATTTCTGTCCCAATTAATTTGCACAATACTCGTATATTTTTGACCTACTTCATCAGTGGTACTTTATACAAGCGTTGATGTTCTCTTAAAGTTTTGTATTTTGTGATAGGGTGACGAACGACTGTTTAGTAGCCAGTTGTTTGTTAGTGTTTGTGGGGATGGCCAGTTAATTATTTAAATCCAGTCCATCCAGGAATTTTATATTCTTTAACACTTAAGAAACTGTGATGTTGTATGTCAGTGCACTAGTTCTATGTGATGTTGTATGTCAGTGCACCAGTTCTATGTGATGTTGTATGTCAGTGCACCAGTTCTGTGTGATGTTGTATGTCAGTGCACCAGTTCTATGTGATGTTGTAAGTCAGTGCACCAGTTCTGTGTGATGTTGTATGTCAGTGCACCAGTTCTATGTGATGTTGTAAGTCAGTGCACCAGTTCTGTGTGATGTTGCATGTCAGTGCACCAGTTCTATGTGATGTTGTATGTCAGTGCACCAGTTCTGTGTGATGTTGTATGTCAGTGCACCAGTTCTATGTGATGTTGTATGTCAGTGCACCAGTTCTATGTGATGTATGTCAGTGCACCAGTTCTATGTGATGTTGTATGTCAGTGCACCAGTTCTGTGTGATGTTGTATGTCAGTGCACCAGTTCTATGTGATGTTGTATGTCAGTGCACCAGTTCTATGTGATGTATGTCAGTGCACCAGTTCTATGTGATGTTGTATGTCAGTGCACCAGTTCTGTGTGATGTTGTATGTCAGTGCACCAGTTCTGTGTGATGTTGTATGTCAGTGCACCAGTTCTGTGTGATGTATGTCAGTGCACCATTTCTGTGTGATGTATGTCAGTGCACCAGTTCTGTGTGATGTATGTCAGTGCACCAGTTCTGTGTGATGTTGTATTTCAGTGCACCAGTTCTGTGTGATGTTGTATGTCAGTGCACCAGTTCTATGTGTTGTACGTCAGTGGACCAGTATTGTGATTTATGTGATTTATGTGATTTATGTATGTCAGTGCACCAGTTCTATGTGATGTTGTATGTCAGTGCACCAGTTCTGTGTGATGTATGTCAGTGCACCAGTTCTGTGTGATGTTGTATGTCAGTGCACCAGTTCTGTGTGATGTTGTATGTCAGTGCACCAGTTCTATGTGTTGTACGTCAGTGGACCAGTATTGTGATTTATGTGATGTTGTATGTCAGTGGACCAGTTGTCTGTGATGTTGTATGTAAGTGGACCAGTTGTATGAGATGTTGCATGTCAGTGGACCAGTTCTATGTGATGTTGCATGTCAGTGGGCCAATTCTAGGTGACTTTGTATGTCAGTGGACCAGTTCTATGTGATGTTGTATGTTAGTGGGCCAATACTGTGTTCTATGTGATGTTGTATGTTAGCGGACCAGTACTGTGATGTTGTATGTCAGTGGACTAGTACTGTGATGTTGTATGTCAGTGGACCAGTACTGTGATGTTAAATGTCAGTGGACCAATAATGTGATCTATATGGTGTTATACGTCAATGGACCAGTACTGTGTTCTATGTGATGTTGTACGTCAGTGGACCAGTACTGTGATCTATATGATGTTGTACGTCAATGGACCAGTACTGTGTTCTATGTGATGTTGTACGTCAGTGGACCAGTATTGTGTTCTATGTGATGTTGTACGTCAGTGGACCAGTATTGTGTTCTATGTGATGTTGTATGTCTGTGGACCAGTATTGTGTTCTATGTGATGTTGTACGTCAGTGGACCAGTATTGTGTTCTATGTGATGTTGTACGTCAGTGGACCAGTATTGTGTTCTATGTGATGTTGTATGTCAGTGGACCAGTATTGTGTTCTATGTGATGTTGTATGTCTGTGGACCAGTATTGTGTTCTATGTGATGTACGTCAGTGGACCAGTATTGTGTTCTATGTGATGTTGTACGTCAGTGGACCAGTATTGTGTTCTATGTGATGTTGTATGTCTGTGGACCAGTATTGTGTTCTATGTGATGTTGTACGTCAGTGGACCAGTATTGTGTTCTATGTGATGTTGTACGTCAGTGGACCAGTATTGTGTTCTATGTGATGTTGTACGTCAGTGGACCAGCATTGTGTTCTATGTGATGTTGTACGTCAGTGGACCAGTATTGTGTTCTATGTGATGTTGTATGTCAGTGGACCAGTATTGTGTTCTATGTGATGTTGTATGTCTGTGGACCAGTATTGTGTTCTATGTGATGTTGTATGTCTGTGGACCAGTATTGTGTTCTATGTGATGTTGTATGTCAGTGGACCAGTATTGTGTTCTATGTGATGTTGTATGTCAGTGGACCAGTATTGTGTTCTATGTGATGTTGTATGTCAGTGGACCAGTATTGTGTTCTATGTGATGTTGTATGTCTGTGGACCAGTATTGTGTTCTATGTGATGTTGTATGTCTGTGGACCAGTATTGTGTTCTATGTGATGTTGTATGTCAGTGGACCAGTATTGTGTTCTATGTGATGTTGTATGTCTGTGGACCAGTATTGTGTTCTATGTGATGTTGTATGTCAGTGGACCAGTATTGTGTTCTATGTGATGTTGTATGTCTGTGGACCAGTATTGTGTTCTATGTGATGTTGTATGTCTGTGGACCAGTATTGGGTTCTATGTGATGTTGTATGTCTGTGGACCAGTACTGTGTTCTAGGTAATACTGTATGTCAGTTTACCAGTACTGTGTTGTAGGTAATACTGTATGTCAGTTTACCAGTACTGTATTCTAGGTAATACTGTATGTCAGTTTACCAGTACTGTGTTGTAGGTAATACTGTATGTCAGTTTACCAGTACTGTGTTGTAGGTAATACTGTATGTCAGTTTACCAGTACTGTGTTGTAGGTAATACTGTATGTCAGTTTACCAGTACTGTGTTGTAGGTAATACTGTATGTCAGTTTACCAGTACTGTGTTCTAGGTAATACTGTATGTCAGTTTACCAGTACTGTGTTGTAGGTAATACTGTATGTCAGTTTACCAGTACTGTATTCTAGGTAATACTGTATGTCAGTTTACCAGTACTGTGTTCTAGGTAATACTGTATGTCAGTTTACCAGTACTGTGTTCTAGGTAATACTGTATGTCAGTTTACCAGTACTGTATTCTAGGTAATACTGTATGTCAGTTTACCAGTACTGTGTTCTAGGTAATACTGTATGTCAGTTTACCAGTACTGTGTTCTAGGTAATATTGTATGTCAGTTTACCAGTACTGTATTCTAGGTAATACTGTATGTCAGTTTACCAGTACTGTGTTCTAGGTAATACTGTATGTCAGTTTACCAGTACTGTGTTCTAGGTAATATTGTATGTCAGTTTACCAGTACTGTATTCTAGGTAATACTGTATGTCAGTTTACCAGACTGTGGTGTATAAATGGAAAACAGGAATAAATGAAAGGGGATGTAAATAGCGTGCTGAAAATATCTAGCCAAGACAGGACTCGCAGCAATGGTTTTAAATTTGAAAAATTCTGATTCAGGAAGGATATATGAAAGCACTGGTTTGGTAATAGAGTTGTGGATGATTGGAACAAACTCCCGAGTACAGTTATAGAAGCCGAAACGTTGTGTAGTTTTAAAAACTGGTTAGATAAATACGTGAGTGGGTGTGGGTGGGTGTGAGCTGGATCTGACTAGCCTGTGCTACTAGGTCTGATACCGTGCTCCTTCCTTAAGTGGATGTGACCTGACTGGGTGGGTCATTGGTCTAATGCGGGGGGTGACATGGACCTGTCTCGCATGGGCCAGTAGGCATGTTGCAGTGTTCCTTCTTCGTTATGTTCTTATGTTCTAATGTTAGTGGAGCGACACGTAAAATTCTGTATTGATTATCATATTTATTTATTAAATTTTTTACATATTTTTTATATTTAGTAAAAAAATTCTATATAATATGATATAAACTTATTAAATTCAATAACAGTGTTTTAAATTATTATTTGTTTCATATTTATTTTCAAATGAAAGTTACATCGTAAGTAGATAAAAAATATCTAATCATTATTAGCCAAGAAAGTTATGTCTCATTATTCTAAGATAATAAAATAAAAGGTCAATCTAGGTTAGCTAAAACATATCTAAACAATCTTTAAATTAATATTTATTGTTACTTTTAAAAATTCCTGGTAAAGAAAATTAATAGAGACAGACATAAGATATAAGACCAACCTTCTTTCTCTTCTTCTCAATGTACGTGCACAGGGAAGCTCTCCTACAAGACAGCTCTGGACGTGACCATGTACGTGAAGAATGAGAAGGAAATGTTGCCCTTCATTGCCCTCTCTAGCAACTTAGAGCTTATGGAGAAGATTATTAAGGAGACTCCCGTGTATGACAGCTTCAAGGTAGGTATACCCACGCTTAGTCTGCACGATATATATATATATATACATATATATATATATATATATATATATATATATATATATATATATATATATATATATATATATTATATATATATATATATATATATATATATATATATGGTCGTGCCAAATATGTAAAACTGGTCAATTAGCAAGAACTCGTTTAAAATTAAGTCCTTTCTAAAATTTTCTCTTATACGTTTAAAGATATATTTTTTTCATTAATGTTGATGTAAAAATTTACAATTTTGCACCAAAAGAATCTTAGAAAACTTACCTAACCTTATTATAACAAGAACAATTTATTTTAGCCTAACCCAACTAAATATATTTTAGATTTGTTTACAATAATTTAATACTAAACAAACACAGTGAAATATATTTTTTTCGTTAGGTTAAGAAAGATTTTGAGCGAAATTATTGTATACACAAATTTTCTCTTGTCCTACATGGCAATTTGAGCGTTGCTATTTAAGCCAAGATCGCAAGTTCTGCCTATTCGGCACGATATATATATATATATATATATATATATATATTTATATAAATATATATATATATATATATTATATATATATATATATATATATATATATATATATTATATATATATATATATAACTGGGTTGCTTGTATGTGCATGGATGTAGTGCGGATGACAAGAAACAGATGATTGCTGATGTTATAAATGAAAAGAAGTTGGATATCCTGGCCCTAAGCGAAACAAAGGTGAAGGGGAGTTTCGGTGGAGGGAAATAAATGGGATTAAATCTGGAGTATCTGAGAGAGTTAGAGCTAAGGAAGGGGTAGCAATAATGTTGAAGGATCAGTTATGGAAGGAGAAAAGACAATATGAATGTGTAAATTCAAGAATTATGTGGATTAAAGTAAAGGTTGGATGCGAAAAGTGGGTCATAATAAGCGTGTATGCACCTGGAGAAGAGAGGAATATAGAGTAGAGAGAGAGATTTTGGGAAATGTTAAGTGAATGTATAGGAACCCTTGAACTAAGTGAGAGAATAAGTAGGAGAAACTTTTAGAGAGGGTGTGGTAGGTAAGTTTCGGGTGCCAGGTGTAAATGATAATGGGAGCCCTTTGATTGGTTTAGTTATAGGTAATAAATATTTTAAGAAAAAGAGGATAAATAAGTATACAAGATATGATGTAGGGCGAAATGACAGTAGTTTGTTGGATTATGTATTGGTAGATAAAAGACTGTTGAGTAGACGTTAGGATGTACATGTTTATAGAGGGACCATAGATATATCAGATCACTTTTTAGTTGTAGCTGCACTGAGAGTAAAAGGTAGATGGGATACAAGGAGAATAGAAGCATCAGGGAAGAGAGAGGTGAAGGTTTATAAACTAAAAGAGGAGGCAGTTAGGGTAAGATATAAATAGCTATTGGAGGATAGATGGGCTAATGAGAGCATAGGCAATGGGGTCGAAGAGGTATGGGGTAGGTTTAAAAATGTAGTGTTAAGAGATAAGATAAGATTTCCTTCGGATTTTTAACCCCGGAGGGTTAGCCACCCAGGATAACCCAAGAAAGTCAGTGCGTCATCGAGGACTGTCTAACTTATTTCCATTGGGGTCCTTAATCTTGTCCCCCAGGATGCGACCCACGCCAGTCGACTAACACCCAGGTACCTATTTGCTGCTAGGTGAACAGGACAATAGGTGTAAGGAAACGTGTCGAAATGTTTCCACCCGCCGGGAATCGAACCCGGGCCCTCCGTGTGTGAAGCGGGAGCTTTAGCCACCAGGCCACCAGGCCAGTTTGTGGTTACAGGAAAGTGGGTGCGGGAGGGAAGAGGAGCGATTGGTGGAATGATGATGTAAAGAGAGTAGTAAGGAAGAAAAAGTTAGCATATGAGAAGTTTTTACAAAGTAGAAGTGATGCAAGGAGGGAAGAGTATATGGAGAAAAAGAGAGAGGTTAAGAGAGTGGTGAAGCAATGTAAACAGAGAGCAAATGAGAGAGTGGGTGAGATGTTATCAACAAATTTTGTTGAAAATAAGAAAAAGTTTTGGAGTGAAATTAACAAGTTAAGGAAGCCTAGAGAACAAATGGATTTGTCAGTTAAAAATAGGAGAGGAGAGTTATTAAATGGAGAGATAGAGGTATTGGGAAGATGGAGGGAACATTTTGAGGAATTGTTAAATGTTGATGAAGATAGGGAAGCTGTGATTTCATGTATAGGGCAAGGAGGAATAACATCTTGTAGGAGTGAGGAAGAGCCAGTTGTGAGTGTGGGGGAAGTTCGTGAGGCAGTAGGTAAAATGAAAGGGGGTAAGGCAGCTGGGATTGATGGGATAAAGATAGAAATGTTAAAAGCAGGTGGGGATATAGTTTTGGAGTGGTTGGTGCTGTTGTTTAATAGGTGTATGGAAGAGGGTAAGGTACCTAGGGATTGGCAGAGAGCATGCATAGTTCCTTTGTATAAACACAAAGGGGACAAAAGAGAGTGCAAAAATTATAGGGGGATAAATCTGTTGAGTATACCTGGTAAAGTGTATGGTAGAGTTATTATTGAAAGAATTAAGAGTAAGATGGAGAATAGGATAGCAGATGAACAAGGAGGCTTTAGGAAAGGTAGGGTGTGTGTTGACCAAGTGTTTACAGTGAAACATAAGTGAACAGAATTTAGATAAGGCTAAAGAGGTTTTTGTGGCATTTATGGATTTGGAAAAGGCGTATGACAGGGTGGATAGGGGGGCAATGTGGCATATGTTGCAGTTGTATGGTATAGGAGGTAGGTTACTGAAAGCAGTGAAGAGTTTCTACGAGGATAGTGAGGCTCAAGTTAGAGTATGTAGGAAAGAGGGAGATTATTTCCCAGTAAAAGTAGGCCTTAGACAAGGATGTGTGATGTCACCGTGGTTATTCAATATATTTATAGATGGGGTTGTAAGAGAAGTAAATGCGAGGGTCTTGAGTTAAAAGATAAAGAATCACACATAAAGTGGGAGCATTCACAGTTGCTCTTTGCTGATGACACTGTGCTCTGGGAGATTCTGAAGAGAAGTTGCAGAGGTTGGTGGATGAATTTGGTATGGTATGTAAAAGAAGAAAACTAAAAGTGAATACAGGAAAGAGTAAGGTTATGAGGATAACAAAAAGATTAGGTGATGAAAGACTGGATATCAGATTGGAGGGAGAGAGTATGGAGGAGGTAAATGTATTCAGATATTTGGGATATTCGGATGGGTCTATGAAAGATGAGGTGAATCATAGAATTGATGAGGGTAAAAGGGTGAGCGGTGCACTTAGGAGTCTGTGGAGACGAAGAACTTTGTCCTTGGAGGCAAAGAGGGGAAGGTATGAGAGCATAGTTTTACCAACGCTCTTATATGGGTGTGAAGCATGGGTGATGAATGTTGCAGCAAGGAGAAGGCTGGAGGCAGTGGAGATGTCATGTCTGAGGGCAATGTGTGGTGTGAATATAATGCAGAGAATTCGTAGTTTGGAAGTTAGAAGGAGGTGCGGGATTGCCAAAACTGTTGTCCAGAGGGCTGAGGAAGGGTTGTTGAGGTGGTTCGGACATGTAGAGAGAATGGAGCGAAACAGAATGACTTCAAGAGTGTATCAGTCTGTAGTGGAAGGAAGGCGTGGTAGGGGTCGGCCTAAGAAAGGTTGGAGGGAGGGGGTAAAGGAGGTTTTGTGTGCGAGTGGGTTGGACTTCCAGCGGACATGCGTGAGCGTGTTTGATAGGAGTGAATGGAAACAAATGGTTTTTAATACTTAACGTGCTGTTGGAGTGTGAGCAAAATAACATTTATGAAGGGATTCAGGGAAACCGGCAGGCCGGACTTGAGTCCTGGAGATGGGAAGTACAGTGCCTGCACTCTGAAGGAGGGGTGTTAATGTTGCAGTTTAAAAACTGTAGTGTAAAGCACCCTTCTGGCAAGACATTGATGGAGTGAGTGATGGTGAAAGTTTTTCTTTTTCGGGCCACTCTGCCTTGGTGGGAATCGCCCAGTGTGCTAATAAAAATAATATATATATATATATATATATATATATATATATATATATATATATATATATATATATATATATAATATATATATATATATATATATATATATATATATATATATATATATATATATATATATATATATATATATATATATATATGTATATATATATATATATATATATATATATATATATATATATATATATATAAATATATATATATATATATATATATATATATATATTATATTATATATATATATATATATGTGTGTGTGTGTGTGTGTGTGTGTGTGTGTGTGTGTGTGTGTGTGTGTGTGTGTGAGTGTGAGTGTGTGTGTGTGTGTGTGTGTGTGTGTGTGTGTGTGTGTGTGTGTGTGTGTGTGTGTGTGTGTGTCTGTGTGTGTGTGTGTGTGTGTCGTGCCGAATAAATCGAATTATTGTTTTGGCTTAAATAGTAATGTTCTTCTTGCCGAATAAGGCAAGCGAAAATTTGTGTATTCAATAATTTTGCAATAATTATTCTGAACATAACGAAAAAAAAAATTTCAATGTGTTTGTTTCTTATTAAATAATTGTAAGCTAATCTAAAATATATTTAGTTGAATTAGGCTAAATTGTATTGCGCTTGTTATAATTAGCTTAGGTACGATTTCTAAGGTTATTTTGGTACAAAATTGTTAATTTTTACATTAACATAAATGAAAAAAAAAATCCAACGTATAAGTCAAAATTTTAGAAAGGACTTAATTTTAAAGGAGTTCTAGCTAATTGACCAGTTTTTCCTATTCGGCACTATATGTATATATATATATATTATATATATATATATATATATATATATATATATTATATATATATATATAATATATATATATATATATATATATGTTATATATATATATATATATATATATATATATATATGTATTATATATTATATATATATATATATATATATATATATATATATATATATTATATATAAATAT